ACCCGACGCGACGAAAGAAGACGGGCACGAAGAAGAGACACGACGAAGAAGACGACGACGCGAAAAGACGACTACGACGAAGAAGAAGACGAAAGAAGACGAAGAAGAAGACGAAGAGAAGACGACGAACGAAGACGACGAAGAAGACGAAGGAAGAAACGAAGAGAGAAGACCGAAGAAGAAGACGGAAGAAGAAGACGAAGAAGAGACGAAGAAGAAGACAAGAAGAAAGACGAAAAGAAGACGAAGAAGAAGACGAAGAAAAGACAGAGAAGACGAAGAAGCGAAAAGAAGACGAAAGAAGAACGAGAAGAAACGAGAAAAACGAAGAAGAAGACGAGAAGAATATACGAAGGGAAAGACGAAGAAGAATGACGAGAAGAAGACGATGAAGAAGACGAAGAAGAAGACGGAAGAAGAAGACGAAGAAGACGAAGAAGGAAGACGAAGAAACGAAAAAGGACGAAGAAGACGAAAAGACAAGAAAGACGAAGAACAAAGACGAGAAGACGAAGAAGACGGAGAAGACGAGCAAGAAAGACGAAGACGAAGAAGACAGAAGACAGAAGAACGAAGAACCGTTCACGGCTGACTAATTAATATCGTAGCAAAAAGTGCATTCAGGTCCGCGACGGGGAAGTGCGGGGGAGGGGGTCAGAACAAGTTAACCCATGCCAAGGTGAAGCACGACGGAGCTGGGCAAGACGAGGAGGCAAAGGGTAGAGATGGAAGGGTTGGATCAAAGAGTGTAATTGGATGCGGTAGAGTAGGAATAATTCAGAGAGAGAATTCATTTCATTCCTTTTCCTCAAGATTGCGATAAAATACTCAGGCAACGCGAAGTATTCCAGCAAATCTCTGTTATACTAAATCCAAACACTGGGAATCTTATACCACGATCAAAGAATTGATTTGATATACTGATAATGAGTCTTCAAGAAATTAACTTAAGAAATCTTGGCCTAAAAAAGTATGTCTATGAATACCACCTTAAAAACCTTTGCGTGAGTGAAAAAGAAAGAAATTTCGAAGTCAAATATTTTGAACCTGATTGAGTCTATATATAATCACAAATTGCCATAAAAAATATTTTAAGTTACTGTTTTACAACGCAGCATGTGAATCGACAATATTTAGTGGCGGGAGGACTCTTCCAGGGAGACTTATCGCCGTATGTTACAGCTCTGAAAAGCAGTAACGCACTGAATATGATAATTCAATCGGAACGCATAGTATGAAAATAAGCCGAGTAACATTTTCAAATATTTGTATTAGACAGTGAAAATCGAAACAGTTTCATTGTTGCTGTTTCTTCATGATTTCCTTCGTATCTAAAGATACCCTAGGGACCTCTCATTTGGCTGAAAGGCAGCATAATTTTCTTTTAATTTCTGTGCAAATTAGTAATGTAGTAAATGAGATATTCTTGTTCAGAACATGGACTTTGGCCTCACTTCCTGAAAAAGCTTGGCAAACTGATTTTTATCGTTGGCCACACTGAAAAAGTAGCTGTCAATAAACCTTTGCGTTTCTTTTAATGAAATTATTGTAAGAATAAATGTATTATAACATATTTGAGATGCTGTCTTAAACCTCAAACATTTTTTTCACTCGCAAACTACTTTTCATATCTATCACATTGAATTATGAATAACACATTCAATTATTTGCATTTGTCAGTGAAAATCGTGTTTCATTGTTGTTGTTTCTTCTTGAGATCCTTCGTATCTAAAGAAACCGTAGGGACTTGTCATTTGGCTGAAAGGCACCGTAATTTTCTCTTAATTTCTGTGCGCATTGCAAATTAGTAATGTAGTAAATGGGATATTCTTGTTTAGAAGATGGACTTTGGCCTCACTTCCTGAAAAAGCTTGGCAAACTGATTTTTATCGTTGGACACGCTCAAAAAGTAGCTGTCAATAAACCTTTGCGTTTCTTTTAATGAAATTAGAAGACATTTATTCTTACAATAACTTTCTTTAGATCCCATCTCAAACCCCAACATTTTTTTTACTTACAAACTACTTTTTTTATCGATTACATTGAGCTATGAATAATATTCTTGCGAAAACGCTGCATTTTCAAGATTTGAGTGTTCATCACTTTCGTGCGAGATTCCTCCCCCTGAATATGAATCTGGGCAGCCAATGGAAAGTCCTTGACAGCCAAGACGTCGATTTAACGCTTGGAATGATGCACGAGCAAAGCGTTTAAATGCAAAATAGCCACACTCACTGAATGCAGAATTTGCAGATTTGTTATCAACATGTGAAGAGATATGTGAACGCGGTTGTGAGGGATATGATAATTATGTACTCTGCCATTCAAAACAGAAAGTGAGGTCTATAGACGGTTGGTGGACGCAGCAACAATCGAAGTGAAAAAAGCTTAAAACACTTTTCAAATTATGATTGGGCGTTAGCACAGCAATTCAGAATTCATGCAATTTAACTCATCAACGTATAATGAAAAACTGAAATTAGTAAAGAAAGTATACAGCATAAAAGAATGCGCAAGTATTTTCACTGCAGTTCAGCAGAATGAGATTCATTCGGAATTCACATTTAACTTGAAACGCAAAGAATTGTGAAAATATATTGAAGCAAAAAGAAAGCATCTGCCAATTTGAAAATTTTCAAACGAAGTGAAATTCATTTTGATCGTACAATTAAAAGGAACACAATTTAATGAAATATAATATATAATGATATATCCTTTCTCTGATATAATCAAGTTTAACATGTTCAATTTTCGTGAATAATTAGTCTTATATTTATCTCTAAAATATCTGCTAGGTCGATTTGGAGATTGTTACTTAAGATTTATGTTGTTTGTAGATACAGGAAGTAAAAAATACAAAAATAATTTTTACTTCAAGATTATACGTCTATATACATAAACAACAGGTTTTAGGGCTCGCCACATATGTCATAATATTCTTATTTTCAACAATAAACAATTGATCCATCATTAGAATGATGCACACATGCTCAAAATTGTTTTTATCTCTGTTTGAAAAGTAATTTTATTGAGAAATTTTAGTATGCAGTCGTTAATTTGTGAAAAACTGTTTCTTTGCATAAATTGTAAAAAAAAATGTGATCTTTACCACACAATCAGTAATTTCAACCATTCAATTTCCATGAGTTTCAAAATTCGTTTCAAGAGACTTTCAAGTTTCGTGATAAAATTCGAAATATAAACCTTTTTAACAACAATGACATAAGTTCTTGACGTTTATTACTGTCTTTATTTCTGTAAGTGACAGATGGTTACTAACTGAATGAACTGTTCAGTATTTATTTATTTATTGTTCTCGATTTTCAAAATGAAATTATATATATTTTATTCATAAATTCACTCTACACTTATTCATAATTTTACTCATGAGTGAATGTGGCTGGCATAAGTATTCAACCAGTCACGAGCGCCTAAAAATGAAAGTTTATAGCCTGAAATATTTAGTTTATTAATTCAAAAACAGTTTCAAATGTACAAAATAATGTTAAAGAATACAATATTGTTAAGTTAAATGTTTGGAACGGAACAATGGGGGCGAAAAAAAGTGGTTCTATAAAAGTATTCCAACAAATAAAAACAACAACAAATAATTAATAAAAATATGAACCTAAATGGAGTTGATAAAATGGCTATTTAGTTGCAGTAACACATTTCAAGTGATTTTGGATCGAATATTCAAAATTTTATATTTCTCTTAAATATTTTTTTCTCATTCACTAGAAAGGTGATATATACTCTCTGAGCAAGGTCTTTCTTAAAATGTTGTTAATTTTTACTGAGCACTGCTACTACTGGATAAAATGCGCTGCTCGAGTTACAAAGATGACAGTAGCAGGGAAAGATGATCTATAGAAACGTGAGACGAGATAAAAGAACAACTCACTCCGAACTCAACGCGTGGGGCACCGTCTGATCAAGGCGAGTTGAGATCAAAACGTGATACGGGGCGGAAACTTCTTGTGCGAGATCCAACTGAGAAAGACCCGTCTTTTGTGCACACAATTCAAAGAACAATAAAGGGTTATTGAGTTTGATACAAGAAAAAAAGGACATAGCACGTCAATTGAATACCTACAAAGGAAATTTAAAGAAAGTTGTCTCGTAAACAAGATGTCTTTTTAAAAATTATAATTACAAGAGAATCATTTAGTAAATTGTAATACTTCATGCAGTAGATCTTATGGCATGACATCCCTTCTGCAGGTGTGAATTGAATTTATCCAATGGATTCTCTAGATGAATACACTCTCTTTGATATTGTCAAAAAAAATTAATTGATTCGTTTCAGATTATAAATCTCAAACGTTCCTAATGAATGTTTCACAGAAATATCCTAAAATTACTCAATTTTTATCTTTTAAATTTCTTATTAAAATATACTACCTTCTCAAATTCTGATATACGGTCTGATGAAAGTTTTTTAAAAACCTATAACTCTTTACAGATGTTAAATTAGAGCAAAGTTTCTCAAATTATTGCTCTTTCTGTTACCACTTCCAAAAGGTGGACCTTTAAAATATCATATCTTTCAAATATTCCCTTTTCAATTATTATTAAATTTAAATATGAATTACAAATGATAACCAACATTTTATTATATAAATTAGTGAAAAGAAAAAATTACAAAGGTGAACATTTAGACATTTTTATTAATTAGGAATTAAAAAATATAGTTCCTTTTCATTTGCACTAACACTCCCATTTGTGCAAGTTCTTTGCATTCGCATCAAGAACGACGAAAAATAGTCCCAACGAAAAGGAAATTTCGATTAGTCAAAGGTCAATATGAAAATAATTAATAGACTTTAAATAAATCTAAGGTAAAAAGTCGATGTAAATTAATTTTTCCATGACAAGAATACTTATTTCTAAATTTTCCCGCGCCAAAACATTTGCACTCTTGACAAAATACTACCTTCCATTGTTGGCTATTGAAACATTCATCGGGCAGCAACAGCAACTGCCAGTCTTGAGGAGGGCTCCTTCGGGAGAAGGTGAGGGGCGGACGCTCGGACCTAAAATTAATTTTAGGTTACCAACTTCAAAATTCTTGGTGTTCAAAGCATAACATTCAAAATGGGTCTGGACCATTGGTAAGTTGAAAAAAAAGTATTATTTTTACAAAGATTGTAAAAAATCTTAATAACTTATTTCTGATCACCATTATTGTTGATTTTATTTACAATTACACGCATTCATATTAAGCAGTATTTTCAACTATAAATACAGCATTATTATTAATTATTATAATAATTATATAATTACAAAGAGTACACGTTATAGTTTAACTTATTTTAAAATACTATTCTTTTTACAGTCGAATGGGAATGTGCGGAGGTGTGGCGGATTTGCCGGCTTGTCGGGTAAGTAAATATTTATTTTTTTATCGACAGATCCTATGGTCATGATGTGTCAAGTTAAAACTAAGTAACCACTCATTGAACTTCTATATAAACTAATGTCAACAAAGAAAACTCTCGCAATTTCAGCACATTCTATTTGATTTAGTGGAAAAGGAAGGCCATATCTTTGTTAAATGTTTTAATATACGATATGGGATTCGTCCGTCAATTTAAAATTTACGTATATATGATTGAGTAACCAACTCAATCGTGTAAAACTGAAGAATTATTTTTTGAAAATATAATTAAATACTCACGAAAATCATTTGAAACAATTTACGCGTGGAGATGAAATTACTTGTTACTGATGTTTTCCCGTTGCGAAACACATTTTTGTCACAGATAAAGTTCCTGTTATTACTACGAAAATATATTGACTTATTTATTTGAAGCAAAATATGAACCAAAAGAATATTTTGTCAAACATTTTGTTACTTGTATGAAAATGATTAAATATTTAGTTTGAAAACTAGCAATTTTATTATGCGAGTGCTTCTTAGAAGTAAAATTCGAAAACTTCAAAGAAAGAATACTTCATTAACAAACGGATTACGTAACTAAAATTTCATCAATAAAAGGCTACTTCAAAATTCAAGCATCTTTCTTCAGATTTTTCTTTCGATGGAATTTCTGCAACGAATTACTCAATGTAGTTTGGGTACGATAATTATCATACTAACCTCATAAGGAGAGTAAAGAACAAGAGGTATTTGCGTCCAAAGAAACATAGCTCGGGAAAAATTGAAATACCCGGTGGTTCTTTTCACTTTTTGAAAATTTTACAAGGAATTTAAGTTAGTCAGGGCGTTTAATGAATTTCAGATATACATTTCCTTTTATAGATGTGAATGAATTAATTAACGCAATATAAATAAAATAGGACATTTAAGTCAATGGAAGTGAAAAATACTTGAAATTATTTTATTTGCAATAGAAATTGTCGAGAAACAAGTCAAAGCAAAGAAAACTACTGAAATTAATAATGTAATAATTATATAAGTCATTGCCAACAGTATTATTTATTAAAATAGCAGCTTTCGATGGCTTAGCCATCATCATCAGTTTTCTGCTGTATGGAAGCCACAAAAACTGATGATGATGGCTAAGCCATCGAAAGTTGCCATTTTTGTAAATAATACTGTTGTTGGCAATGACGACTAATATAATTATTTCACTGGAAATGCCAACGAAAACACACCACAATACCAATATACTGAATTTAGTTTTATTGAAGTTAGTGAAATGTGAATTACAGATTTTACTACATGTGAAGTAGTAGACTCTGTAGTGTGATGTAGGTAACTATTAAAAACGGACTACTATTAAGGAATATTTTCAATATCCGTCACGAAGTTCAGGGATAAAGGTAAAAAAATATGTTTTTATTAATAAACGTAGTTAAAGCTGAGTTATTAAAATGCAAATATTGCCGTAGATGTCACCTTACCATAGATTTTTATTTCATTTTCTTCAACTTTGACCCAATATTTTGTAAGTAGATTTCACAAATAATTTATTACAATTATCAAACACTGTTAATATGAATTATCGGTTATGTCTCAACGGTTTGAATATTTTCATTAAATATTTTCAAAAATTGGTGCACGCCACTTCTGAAAAACTGGGCTAATAATTTCATTTTGACATAACTAAAATCTCTTATCTTTAAAAACTATTTTCAAATTTATGTGAGAAGACGTTTCTTTAAAATACGAAGAAAATTGTAACCATCACTTAGGAGATAATCAAGCCATTATAATACTGAGCCTTTAGTGAGAACATTCAAATCGTCTTATTTGTCGTTTTTTTGCTAAGAATGAATGTACTTACATATCTTAAGAAACTTTATTAATTCAAATTGAAATATAGGATTTTTCTAGTTAAGAATAGTGAAGAGCTAACTAGAATGTAGTGGTCTTACGTGTGTAATGTTCTGCGTAACAAAAATCCATTTTTGGCACATTCTATTTATATAAAATGGTGTCACCAACTTCAGTTCGCAAATTGCAAATGCCAAAGTTGTAAATTTTACCTGAAATGATTAATGAAATATCTATACAGAATTAAAATTTATTTCATACGTGTTATTTCAATTGAAATGAAGTTACAATTACATCCTATTGATGATTTATTTACTTTTCATCTGACTATTTTCTAGTTACATTTTTGTATTGATTGAATTTAAGTATTTGATACAATGTAACTTTGATGTCACCAATGACAAATACGTCCCTATGTCTCCTTTTAGTACTGACTCACTGTATTTCCATCAAGTCTCACACTGTAAGCTGATATACTACTCGAAAATGGTGGAAGTCTGTATATTTTATAGTTAACATCTTTAGTTTTTTCGACACCTAAATATTTAACCATTATTCATAACGCCATCATAGTTCAATTAAATTTAAAAGACGTCTTGGATACAACTACACGATGCTTCATGAGATGCTCTTTGTTATTCTCGCAAAATATACCCATTGCGCCTGAATATCACTGTGTTGTAACTGTTGTGCTGGGTTCTGCTGGCCGAGCAGCTGTGAAGCAGACTGCACTGTTCTGCCCTGCGCTGAGCGTCTCATCCGACTTTCTGTTGCTTCTCCGGCGAGTTCTCGACCAATCGGCATCAAGATGTCTCAGGTACCCCACACTGCGCTTGTCACAATTGAAAGAACACCCCAAGTTCCCTCCGACTAATGAAGACACAGATAAAACAACCCATGCGCGTCAATCCAAGCGTGCTCGTTCAATCTAATCACATGATCTAGAAATACCTAGAGGGCAAAATAACTTTTAAATGTAGTCGTTACATGGTTCCTTAACGTAGCGTAAACAGGAATGCGAACTAATGATTTCATTACTAGTTTCTTTACTTTAAGAGTACATAATTTTTGTTTAGAACAGCCTTTTAAATGTTAATGTAGGATGATTTGGAACTCAGTAATATCTAAATATCGCTTCATTAAATCATTAGGTAGTTTTCTAATCACCTACCATTAGGCTTATAAAGAAATCGAGTGTAATAATAACAATTATTCCGAGAGACCATTGTCAATCTAGTCGATCCCGTATTTCATTCGGCGAGAATACCCTAAAAAGATTATTCTGACTTGAAGTCTTTAATGCAATATGTCAGTATCTTAATCTAAAATTATTAGTTGTAAAAATTGGAGCGAGATCACTCTAAATTTTACGTGATGTAGTCTGTACTTAAAGAGGACCGAAATTTTGTATAGGCACGCCCAAAAGAAATCTGAAGTTCGTAATCACATTAATGTTTATTACTATTCATGTCTCATGAAAGATACAGATGTGTACAACTAGGGCAATTTAAAACATGAAAATTTTAAATTGATATACATATATTTTCATAGAAAGTTAGTTTCTGGCCGTTCAATTCATCAACGAAGAAAATAAATACATACAATAAATTCAATTCCAAGATTAACATTTGAAGATAAAACTATTTATGCATAACTAACAAAGAGAAGATCAGGCCTCTGAACTTCAATTTCATCTGCTGTATTTTGTCATTCATTTTCCAATGGGACATCAAATTCGCCAATTTATTAAAATATTACACATTTATTAAAGTAATATAACTTTAATTGTTCGATTATTTCTTAATCTGTGTAACGGAAGTTCATAAATACATTTGTAATCTAGAACACCAAAAGGACCCTTAGTAAGTCAGACATTTCAACTTCTATGTTACAAAAATAAAGAAGTAAGTAAATGATACAAGCTGCAAATTTTGATATTGCCATTATTAGTAATAATTATATTCTGAATTACTAATCGGGACGAACACTGAAAAAACAAACGAACAATATAAATTGTTCATATACTAGTGGACAAAAACAGAATTTTGAAATTTTAACTAGAAAAACCTACTTAAAAACCACTGTGGATCTCCCGTTCTTTTATTCATCTCCATGTAAATTATATTCTAGAAAAATATTCTTTACAAATATCTGCTACTCAGTTAAGCACATCCCCTTGACAATAGAGCGTATGTCATTCAGAAATAGATATTAAATTAATGAACTAGATTGTTTTCTCTGGACAAAATACTAACATTTAAATGAAAAAGCTATGAGGAATGACAGTTGCATTGTTTTACTTTTGCACTCTTCTGTACAAAAATAATGCTACGTTCGCTCCCTCCATTTTCTTTAAAAAGAGAGTTCAGAGGGGGGATGTAGCCTGAGCCCAGTGGTGGCGAATATTGGATGGTAGCTAAAGAGCTATGTGGAATTCAAGTACTGCCTGGAGAATCCAAGCGGCCATGAGCTCGGATAGGCAGTTTTCCGTGCTTTCCCCGTTAAACGTTACGAGAAAGTCGGGACAATACCCCAATGAACGGACCACGGATCGAGCAAAATTTTGCCTGCGTCATCCTTTACTCCATACCCCCCTCCCCATTTACACACACACGCGCACTTACATGCATACAATGCCGTTGTACAAGTTGAGGGCGTCGGGGTAGACGCGATTGAGGCGGTGCCCCGTTGGGGTATGTAGATGAAGGAAGAAAACCTGCAAGCCGATGTGTAGGACGTTCCAGCCGGGGGGGGGGGGGTGCACCGCACAAGGCCCACTCACTTGCGAGCGCGCGTGCGCAGTGCTGCTGTCGCACCACCAAGTGCCCGCGCCTCATCCCGAGGACGTTCTGCGACGACTACGATCGGTACGTGGAGGCGAAGAAGCGCGCCCTCTCGCAGCCCGACTGCCCCGAGCTGCACCGCGCCGCCATGCCCTGCTGCAAGTGCGAGTGCTGCTGCTACCCGTGCTACCCGGGCTATCCGGGCAGGGCGCGCTACTTCTTCCGGTAGGCCAGTCAAGACCACCGCCCTGCGCTCTCTCGCACTAGGGCAGACTCTAGACACACACCTCGACCTTTTCTCCGAGAATCAAACTTCTTGCGGCAAGTTAAAAATGCGGCATATTTCTTCGTTATTTAAAGAAGGATATCATATTACAGCATTTTGTAGAACATTGCGGTGTCACAAGGAATGAAAGAGACAAGAATATAATATCTTGTAAATAAATGACGCAGTTTTTTAGATATTTCGGTAGCGCCGCAGAATTTAATTTTGTCTTAATTCTGTCAGTACTGAAAAGTGATAAACAGTGTAACTCTTACGGGTTTTACGTGAGATTTTCCTTCAGGTCCATGTTACCACTGTACAAAGTTATTTCAGATACCAAAACACATAGGAAAGTTTTAAGGATATCTGAAAACGTTCTTCGAGTGGGAAAAAATGAACAGTTCACGAGTGAATTAGAAGAATTAGTTCAACAATCTAACAGATCAGAGTACTAATTAACTTGTTCTGATGAGCTTCGGTGGTGCACCATAACACCGAAATCTGGTGTTGCCTGAAAATTGCCCTTTATCCTCTCCACTTGTCAAATAAAATCATTCTGGTAATTATGAGATTTGTCATACCAGTAACTGATCTTTTAGGTAAGTGGAAATGCTAATGACGTACTACATAATTTAAAGATTTTCAAAAGAGAGCGCTTTTTGGTGAGGAAACCACGTCTTTTACATAACACAATAAAATAAAATAATTTTGCGTTGCCTTACCAGTAGTCTCTCTCTGTAGACTAACGTAAAAAGTTTCGTTGGAAATATGAGAAGTACTTTACATTACAATATTAATGTAGTATTCGGAAATAATGTGAAATTAAATACAAAAAAAATGAACATCGAAAGGTATTAATTGTGACATCTACGGCATGTATTGCGTTCCCTCGTAACTGAATAACTTATTTACCTAACGTTTGCATTTGGACGAAATACTTAACAGTAGTTAACTATTTCAATGCAATTCTTAATTTTTTTTTCAGTTTTGTACTTCCTGCTGCTATGAACGTGTTCTAATAGCATTTCGACATTTTATTTATTTGTTTAAAGAGGAGACTTCTTTTTAAGATTGTTATGTTCAATGTGTGAAATTAGGTATTCCGTACTTCCAACCCTTTGATTTTTATTCGTATGTTGTATTAAGTAGGAAATAATACGCGCACAAAGAAGATAGTTTTACATTTTTATATTATACAATTACTTTTACTGCATAATTTTTTAATAAAATTTGTGTAATGTGTGTGTTATCGACAAAATGAACCGAATAAACAGCCTATTTCAGCGGTTAATCGCAAAAGAAAACCAAACTATTGGTAAACTATGCAATTCACCGAATATTCGTAGATTTAGGCTCAATAAGAACTTCATCAAATTACATTAATTAACGTGACAAGAGCGGAAACAATTGAGCCGATAATTCAAAATTGATCATTACAGTAAATGATGCGCTGCATTAACATTAGTATAATGCTGTTGAATAAATAATCAGCGAATCAATTATAACCTAATAATATTTCAGAAGTAGCATGATTAATATTAAACACAATAACTTTTCGTATAACTATCGCAATGAAATGTGAATGGAAATACCTTTCAATTTCGTGGTTTTCCGGTTATCTTGTCACCACACGGAATGTAATGTATCTCTCACTTTTCAGTTTCTCTTGCAATATGATATTTTTTTGATCGTAATTTTATAGATATTTATGATTTGATCGTAATAGACACGATTAATTTGAGAACCGAAGCAATCGTGCTGTAAGTGCCCTAGCAGGCGCTGCATGTCGTGTTTGCCTTGCAGTTGACTCGTTGCGGAAGCACCGAGCTCATCGGCGGCCTGCTGTACACCATCTCCGACAAGACCCGTCGCAACGGCCTGGAAATGATCTGCAAGAGCAACCGCTGCGGTTGCCCGTGCCTGTCTAAGCGCTTCTGAGCCGAGCCGAGCCGAGCCGTCCGCCCCCGCGTCCGCGCGCGCGGCCGGGGGCGAGGGGGCGGTGGGCCCCCGGCCGGCGCCCGGCGCGGACGCCCAGCGTCCACCCGCTGGCCACCCGCACCGCGCCTCCTCCGGGCTCTCTGCCCGGCGCCCGCCCGCGCCACCGCGCCAGACCCGCTCCGCCTGGGTCCCCCGGCCTCGCTGGGGCTTAGCGGGGTCGTAGCGCTCCGGCCAACGACCGGAATGGTAAATTGCTTCTCCTTTGGTACTCGTCTTTTACATAAAATGTTTCAAGTATTGTTATACAATAAATGTCCAAAACGAAAAGTCTCTCTTCATTACAACAAAGCTTCAAGAAATCGCCAACTAACGCTGACTAATGTTCATGAAAAACATCAATGAAAAAGTTACAATCAATGTAGGGCCCAATGATTTCATATTTTAATGTAATTTAATCGTACAATTTACCAGCCCTGATGTGCCCTTTCAATTATTTCTTTAGACAATTTTATAACCATATAGGTGAATTATTAAGAAATAAGAACATGATGAAGGGACGAAGATACATTTTGTTGCAAACTACATTTCGTTATGAAATATTTGGCCCGAACAATTGTTGGACTGCTGGTAAACGACGCAGAGAAAAATCTTCTCTTCAGTTTTCATTTGTATCCTTCGTGAAAGTGAGAAAGGATGTAAATTCAATGTTTTCGTACTTTAGAAACAAGTAACAATTTAAGTTAAATGTAAAGCAGAACATTTAAAACTGACAGAGGCTTCAGCGGAAGAAATAATACATTTAAAAAGAAAATTAAAACATTAATGAATAACACAAAAAAAATATGTTGCCAATGAAATCTGTCTTTAGTGACCCATAGAATTAAATAAAATTGGGTCCATAACAGTAGTATTGTAATATTCACCACGTAGTCAAGATAAATATGAAAGTAAGAAATACGCCCTTTTCAATTCAAACGTTAATACCACATTGAAATTAACTTTATAATAAACTATTATTTAAAAATAACTGGAAGCCCCTTTCCAGATGTTTAGTTTGCTTCTGGATTTACCACCTCCACGTGTATGCATCAAATCTCTAGCTTCTCAGACCTTCACTTTTTATAGGGTTACTAGCTAAAGTACTCCGAGTTGCCGGGGTATTATTATAATCATTTATTAGACAGAAAGAGATACTCCATCTATTCTCGCCTTGCGTCGGAGAGTATTTCTATCTTTTCTATTGCATCCCCGCTCTGCTCCAACCCGCCTCGCTCCTCTGTCTTACTCCCATCTGGAAACATCCGGTTTTCCTCATTCACTCACTCAATATTTCTATCTTTTCCTATTTGGTATTCTGCCCCCAAACGTCACTCCCTTGCAACTAAAAATAAGCAACATATTTACTCGCGTATTCTTTTGTGTAATTTAATGTATTATCCAATACTTTCAATCAATTACCCATTGTAAAATTTACTTTTCATAGACACTTGAATGGGAAATAAAAAATATTCTAAAGACATGAAATTCTGTGCATTGTTGAAATCAATCGCGGATCACATTTGTCATTCTCTGGTGGCATGCAACTAAACAATTGCACAATGGTGCATTCCTGAATCTGTGATGTAAGGTGTACGTTTGTTTATCGTAGCTCTTGGCCGTTAAAGAAACCTAGCTCAAAAATTTAATCGGTATTGGTTGAGAGCATTCAGAGATCATCGCGCTGTAACTCAATTCACTTGCCTCTTTATATATTAGTACAGATTTATCATAATTAGTAACTGATTTTCATTCAGATGGTACACTTAGTGTGAAAATAGGCAAAATAATTAAGTCAAATTCGAAACTTTGTTTGTATTCGTATTTTTCCCGAGTCTCTGGGTATTACTCGCGCAACGTTTCTTGACCGATAACCAACGTCTCTCCTCCCTGGTACAATAAGCAGGTGAAGGTAAAAGTTCCCAGTGAGCACTGGTTACACCGAACACAACTTCCTTGGCCCGAAACAGAAACTATTTGCCGCTGACTGCGAGAACTCAGGTTTGTGTTGTTTTTCTTCTTGAGATAGGTATAAGTCCTTCACAGGAGACAACTCGAACTCTTGAAAAAAGAGAACTTGCAATAGCGGCGTATGCAAAATTGGTGAGGATGTTGCGAAGGTTTGCGAGTTGGAAAAAGGCACAAGATTATGATGCATTCTTTAAGTAATGCGTCTTGTTACACTAGATCAAGTATTTCAACGATAAAGAGAATAAACTGTATAAGAGCGTTTTCCACTGTGGATATATTTGTGATTTGTTCGATGATTTCCACAAATTCATTTTTCGTTGCCATTACTTATTATTTTTCAATTTTTAGAATTCATTAGATACACGGTGAAGATAATATTAATTCCTTAAACTCCCCAGATATGTCTTGTAAAAATGTAACATTCAAGAGACCAATTTATCATACTCAATGTAATTTTTTTTACATATCACCAACTCTGCTAAGATAGATTTACAGTATTCTTAGTTTTCAAAAAGGTCTCTGTAAGTTACTATTTAAACTTCTACAATAAGAAGATTCGTCCCTTCAGGCAAACGAAGTCAGAATGTTTACCAGATCACGAAATTTCTAGTCATGCATTGCATTGCATTGCATTGCAAGTTTGAAGATTATTTTCCAGATGTTGGCATTGGTTCAAAACCTCCAGAGGAAACCTTTTGTAACTACTACCCACAATCGACCTACATTTCTCCAACCTATCGGTCAAGGAAAGTTGCGCGGTTATTATGAGACTAAACCGTAGATCCCTCTCCAATGTCCGGATGCTGCATAATTTTCTTTCATTTCTCCGTTCATTTGAAAATTAGAATTCAGATGTCGCACGAATATGGTTTTTCAGTCTTTTCTTTTGGCACGCTTAGATTCAACCGGTCACAATTAACAGAAATTCGCTGCTCTAGCTTTGTGGCGGCCAAGTGTAATTAATATGATGCGATGGTGAAGAGAGATTCAACCTGTTTTCTATCAATCCCTCCCGGAATGACAAAGTTTTAAAACACGTTTAGTAGTATGCCACAGTGGCACATGAGCGCTATTGCCTTGGTGTAGTGCCGGATCTCGGATTCATTCGGTTAGAATTCATTTAGGAGAACTAATTCAAAATGCTGGCCAATTGTTCAATATTTTGCGTTAGGATTTTTCAAGGTACACTTTCTAAATGTATATCTTTAAAGGGAATATTCATACTAACACTAAAACAATGTACCAAAATGTGCATAAAATAGTGAAAAAAAGTGTGTCTTTCCTGAGAAAATTTTGACTCCTTGCAAGAAGCTTTCAAGCATACATTTGCAATAGTTTCAATGCTGATTTTTTATTTACCAATTGAACGACTAACCCACATTTTATAATTTGTTCTTCCATTGATAAACTGGTACTTGAGAATCCTCCATCTGAATAAGCATATTTCATACAAAGCAGTTGACAAATAGACTAAATATTAAGATATATTAACTGTTATCATATCATGGTTAAGTTTTTATCAGATTGCGCTGACTCACCGTTCGGATACATACGAGTGGGTGTGAGCAAACTATGCGATGCTACAAATTCTGCAAATTTACTTACCCATCTACCTACCGACCTTCAAGATAGAAAAAAGTTTTTTTACTTTACCTGTGGAAAAAAATTATTGTAACCAGATATCTACATTTCTTCCATGTATTTAGTCTAATTTTTGCTTGTCAAATATTATAGAGCTCCCTTTCCTATGTGTTTAAACAGGCAAAACGAATCTCGTAGCATGGAGACGAACCGTTGCCTAGTAGTATTTATCATATTCATTTATTTTAAATTTAACCAGTCAACAAGGGGGGCAGGGCCTTGTGCTGATCGCCTCTACTTCACAAATTTTTGGTTTTTCATCGCCCAAATTTTCAGTAAACATGCAAAAAATGCAGCAGCCGAATGCCGATCCAATCGGCGGATGTCGGGTTCCTTACGCATGGTGAGTTGCATCAACATTTAACGCGATGACGTACGCACGTATTCAAGGTACTAAATATATCTTGTTTGAAAATGCTTTTCATTGAACCACATTAAAGCTTTTTAAACCACGAAATCAATAATTGTTAAAACGATGTGTTAAAAAACAGTATCATGTGAATAAAATGTATTTTTTGTTATTACTAATACATGTTTTCACTTGTTTCAGCCCGATGGTGTCACCACAACTCCCACCAACGAGGGTAAGTACTTTGCTAAAATAAAACATTTTATTTAGCATGTACGAATTTTTATTTCTATTAGTACTAGTACAAAAACCAAAAATATTTCTCTATAGACATTATTGCGAGAAATCGTATTATAATAAGATATAATTTTCTGAAGCGAAGGCAGCTTTAAGAGCGATGACGGATACGTTTTCATACAATCAAATTATAACTATAAATGGTATAAAATACGACAAGTACAAGAAGCTCATCGACGAAATTACTGTTGTAGCTGACGAGAACTCGCAGTCGTGAAATCGTCGGTGGACGTCTGCTGTTCAACGTCTTGTCCAACCGCAGAAATGGGCTGCAAGATGATCTCATGCATAAATAATTCCAAGTTACTAGACAATTTTGTGTCATCCATTGCTAATAAATTTGAAATCAGTCTTTTATCACTTTACTACATGCTGTTTTATTTACAGAATAAACTCAGGCAAAAATGATAATGAAATAATTTTTCAAGTAACAACTAAAGTCGCAGAATTTGGTATCACTATCCAACAATTTCATTTTAAAATTTATTGTAAAAAGTCAAGGAAAATGGTAATATGAATTACATGTGTCAGTATGCTACACTCTCGAATATTTTGAATTTGAGTAGTGCATACAATTAAAGCTAAAGCGTTTCCACCCATTCTTACTTATCGGTGAGTCATAGATAATGTAATAAGGTTCACTTCTAAGTAATAGAGGACACAATTTGAAAACTAAGAATTTGACTCTTCAAACTTTTGGAACGTGGATCTAATGCCTTCTCGTGGTAATGATTTATTTTCCCGTATGTTTATTTAATTAAAAAGCTTAAACATCTTACAAATGTTGGCGTTGAAATAATGTAGCATAAATTATATTTGGGGGTTTGAATTTGCCATTTCGGGTGGAGTAATTTATAGCAGCCTACGTTTTGCCATTATCTTGGGGTCTCTACGGGAACACAATTGATGTTTGATTCGATCAAAATATATCAAATTGATCAAATATATATTAAGGAAGCAATGGAAATATTGTGGCCACTACTCGTGTTTCCCTATTTTTCTTCGATTTCCCTTAACTTCCCCCTATTTTCTTTCCCGATATTGCAGCACTTCTGGCACATATTCTCCTCTCGGCATACACTAACAAACTTACAAATATCGAGAGCTAGCGGAAGAGATGAAAATATGAAAGGTGAAAAGAAACATCCGTCCCCTGACAATTTGAACTATCGGAATAGTAACAAAATCCCTCATTAAATATCTACAAGAATTAAATATAATGCATTCACTGGGAACACTACAAAAAGCAGTTATTCTGAACACGACACACAGTGAGAAAAACTGTCAGTGTTGGAGGTCCTGCAACTAAATAAAGAACTTGATCGTTATTTGCTCATCCGGCCGTACAGTGCAGCACATTAATACTGATAATAAATCATCCGCATGCCTCATAAATCTTCTCCAGACAGCGACTGCATTTGACCTCGCTCTTTAGCCAGTGCCGAAAATTCGCCACCTTCGGAACTCTATCACAGAACCTCCAGACAGGCTAGCTGCAGAGGCAGGCTCTGAGCCGGTAAAAATACTTGGGATCGAATAAAAATCTATATGAAATATTATTTATAGTATCATTACGTGCTTCTGATTACACCGTCTAATGGGTTTTATTTTTCTGCAAGAGTTATCAAACGTTCAATATATGTCACTGCAGCTACAGCATATGTATGTCTTGAGCGTAGAAACATTCAACATTGAAGGAGCCAAAACAAATGCAAATGTCATACGTGTAAATAAATGTCTATACACACGCTATTTAGAACTCCAACTTTGCAAGATGTAAAGGTTTTGTAATATCATTGGAAGTACCATCAAATCTAGTCTTTATCGATGTAAACGTTTATATGAAGGAGCGAAAAAAAAACTTGTCGAAAGTTAACATCACTCTTTGTTACAGTTATTTATAATCAAACTTTGAATAGAGGAAAAGAAGGAGAGATGAGGAGAAAGAGGGAGAGATTTCAGGAACTATGTAAAGAAATCGTGACGTAAGGACTTTCAAAACTATGACCCAAGCAAGATGAATTACTTCAAAGAGTATTGTCAAAAAGCAGTTGGTCACTTCAAAGAAACAAAACGTTTTAATTAAATGAATTGGCAAATTATAAATTGTGTGCAACTCATGAAATGTGAATGCAAGTGTGAGGGAAGAAAAAAAAATTTAGTTTAGACATTTACGAGTATATTGCAATTGGGAAACTGATTCTTGATCTTCTTAGAAAGCTATTTTAAAGAATACCACGATTTACCTCTTTCACAAGATTCACTTTCAACTCCTATTTTTTACTCTCATCGTAATTCATAAGAAATATACTCAAAAAGTATTTTTTTAATATTATTTTTATCGGAAGACGAAAAATTGAAAATATCAGAATCCTGTAATATGATTTGTGCTTGATTAATCGACGAGCAATCCGAGAAAAAAACTGCGAAATCTTAATTCACAATTTTCTATTCGTTGGCCTGGAGCCGAGGTCGCTAGGGCTGAAGGGCCGTACTTATCACAGCTCGAAGTGTCGCGTCTTCGAATCCCGCCACGGGCATGTTTGTATGTTCATGTCGTCATTACGTGTTCTTCCTGCCCTATATTAAAACAATCACAGTAGTCGCTATATGAGCAAGTTGTTAAAAAGCGACCTGAAAATAATTCTATTCAACCTCTATTTTACATTCAGTATTCGGTTGAAGGACGAGAACTTAATTTTCTGTGCAAGGTCTAAAATCAACCAAATTGCCTGAATACCATTCATAATATGCATTTAGAGAAAGTGGTCATCTGCAGGATCAGCTATCATTGATATCACACGCGAAGTACTGAAAATAGCAACATTTTTATTTTGTTTTAGAAGGCGTTGGTTGGTTACTCCATGCTTGAACTATCACATGTAGAGGGTCGGTCATTCGCTTCAAACCACCAAGCAATCTTTGTACGCGACTTAATTTTGCCCTCGATGTGTAAACTATGTGCTTTGCAATGCAACCCTTTTGCCGACTATGTAAACCCTACGCATGGCAAACAATTGACAAACTTCCTATTTGTAACTTAGCAACAGTTATTATTTATTGCATTCAAGGACTCGAACATCAGAGTAAAGCAACTGCATGGGACATTAAATAAAATTTAAGTCAGGCTAGTGTTTGCCAAATTCAGCGCAATGGTCTGCTGTCGCTGCTTCAAGTGGTAAGAAAATTATTTTAATTTAGACCAAACGGTAGAAATATTGTAGGAACGTTCAGTCAGAAGATCGGTATTGCAGTACAAACATTATAGAACCACCTACTTCTATTGAATATTCCAATATCTTAATATTACTTGAACAGAATGTAAGAGTGGCCGTGAAAGTGACCGAAAAGATGTGCGGAATAGTCAATCGTATAGTACTATTATTACTTCTGGGCCTCTTCTCCATATCTTTCTTAGTTTTCAAAATAAAAATCTAAACCAGGTGAACAAGACATATTTCTTTATCTTCTCAATTTCGCATTATTCCAAGAGAGATCGTTTTTTAATGATTATCATTTTGTCGCCTGACTTCAATACATGGTAATGTCACCTTTTAACAATTTACTTCCAGTAACATTTAAAAAAATGTTACATTTCATAATCTTATATAATCTTTGAAGGGTATTTTATAGTGCATCATTTATTTACTTAATTCAATAGACACTGAAAACCATTTACTCAAAGTAAAACTAAGGATTGTGGGATAGGTGATGAGGTAGTGTTGACATACTTTTATGATGTAATAATTGAATTCATCTGTCAACTTAATGGATTTATTTAGAGAGCCGGGAGGCTGAGGAGCTAACTCTTTGGGAGTTTAGAATTTTAAGCTACAGCGTGCATTTTTTGGGGTTTCATTTCTCTATGTAAATTAATTCCGTCGGTTACACTAATGTTCATAACAGATTTCATAAACTTCAACAATATATTTGTTGCTTCTGTAGTAATTTGTTACTTTCTTTTGATTGCAGTTGTAATACGGAGGGTTGCATCCATCCAGCAGCCATAGTAAGTCGATTTGTTTATATCGATATTTATAAAATTATTTACACTGGACCTTTCTCAAAATCATCTACATTAATTAACTACGGTTTGTTTTAGTTGCACGGAGGCCAGTTTTACACGGAGGTCGACTGTCATCGTCGAAATGGGCTGCAAGATAAATGCAAGCTCTGTGGCAGCTGCTGGCCTTGAGCGTGTTCTTTGATACCTTCCACGGAACCAGCAAACATCCATAGTATGTCAATCCAGTAGAGGACCCACACTAACGCTTCATAAATTATAGCAATGGGTGGCTAGTTTAATGTTTTGAACATCAGATGCTGGTTTATACGACCATGAGGAGAAACAAGTAACAAAACGTATGAACTCTGAGACAACATATAATATCTTCCGAAGTGGTCATGTCACATGATGTAACACATTCTAATATTATTATATTCCACTTAAATGATCTTAATATACTTCGATTCCGCGTACCTTTTCTGGACATTCAGAAAGTTTAAAAGACGATTTAGCTTCAAACTAAATTAATATTGTGTAGTTAAAGATAGAAACAGTGATCGAAAAGACGTGTGTTAAAATTGCAATGATTTTCGGGAATTAAAAATTAGGTCACAAAGAATGGGAGACATCTCAAAACTCGTCGTTTTGATCTGAGAAGAAATATATTTTTAATTGATTTTTAAAAAATTCACAAGAACACGTAAAGATCAAAGCAGATTGTCTTTGACCATGCAGTAAATTAAACATTGCTACTTCGTGTCCACCGGTGATGTAAACTTACATTTTCTGCAAGTAAAAAAAAAAATACTTAAGTGAAAGCTACTGGCATCAATTTGTAGCCATAATTTTATTTGCTATTATTTTTTTTAGAGTTGTACGTTGTTATAGTTATAAAATACCGGCGATGTTTCTTGCAGATCGATGAAGTATATTATTTTATTCCTTTATAAAGGAGGGAGAGCTAACAACCGAATATATTTCTTATTACGGTGTTATGAGCTTGGGGGGGATGTTTTTTTGGACGCATAAAATCTCTTTCTTTAAAATTAATAGAATATTTAAATATTATCGTGCGTTTCTCATTATATTTATTCACATCACATGTGTGAAAATTTTGTATGCATTATCGCGTCAATTTTACTTCATGTCGTTCGATTGCATGTGGAATTTCTGTGCCAAGTATTGTAGCATGTTTGAAGCTTTCGTTGACTGTTATTGAATGGTATGTATATTCGTATTTATGGAGCAGGTACACTTAACAGGTTCTCACGTTTTACACCGATTTAAATGTAGTGTCCCTTTAAGGTCACAAGCTTTAAGGTGAGGCGGCCACTGCCATCCAATCGGGAGCTTCAATACAATGCAATTTAAGTAACGAAGCTCCCGATTGAATAAGTACCTTGCGAAACTCCCCTTCTCCTTCCAGATGGTGACTTAAAGAAAGGGGCACTCCATTTAATCAGGAAGTGTTCTTGGAGAACGGCCCTTGAGGTGCGCGGTGTGTCCGCAGGAGCTGCGCTACGGGCCCGCGCCGTCTGCCTCCGCACGGACCGCCGCCCGCCCTAGCGGCCCGACAGCAGCCGGCCTAGCGCACGACCCCCACTCCACCGCCTGGCAAACTCAAGACTCGCACAAAAAAAAGAAACTTCTAAACAATGTATAACGCAAAACATCCAAAAGAATAAACATGCAGCAAAACATAAGCCATCTCTTTGATTTCTCCGTAGATGTTCCTGCAATCCTGTAGCGATTATTAGACAACTCAATGGGCATGTCCTATTCAAAAATTCAGTAGCCTTAGCGCTTTGCAGTTGCATTTCAAATAAAGCACTTTACGACTTAAAGGAAGAAAAATCTGGTATATGATAGAAATGGGTATAATTCTGGATTAGACAACGCTCGAAGAGTTTCTTAGCTCGGCGCAAATAAATTGAAATAAGGAATTCATTAAACAATGGGATATATTACGATATTAACAATAAACTCAATAATGCTGCGACTACATTAAATGTACTTGTATTCATAAGATACATTTGCACTCGCGAGTGTCTTTAAAGGAAAGCATTAGAGACGATAGTGTAAGTAAAATATAATACTATAGGTATAGATATTTCATATTAAAAAAGTTTCACCGACCATTAATTTCAAAATAAATAGCAAGGATTTTTTATTTAAGAAGTACGAAATATTGTACTAACACAGTTTGAACATTTAAAAAAGTTCCTAGCGTACGTATTAAAATTAAAAGAACAGTTGGAAGACAATATTTCTTGGTGCGTAATATTTTCACAAATCAAAATATTGAGGTTGGGGCACATTTATGTCGGATTTTATATTGAACCTAGAATTTAATGAAACAGTATTATAGCTTTAGAAGGGGTAGGCCAATGCCAGTAGCCGGTTCGGGAGAAGCAAAGAATGATGAAAACTAGTATCAACATTTGTTTACTTTCTCGTCTTTACAAAGGTACTTCTTAAGAAAAAGTTGTGTAATCTTGCGCCGAAAAACGAATTTTCAGCAAAAAACAACAAACCCTTGTTGCAGAGCCCTGGAAACGAAAAAGCGGGAAAATCCTGTTGCTAAATATAGAAAACAAAATTTCAACATCAAATGACGGCATAACGTCTGTCGTCCTGTCTGTGGTCAACGCTAGCGCCGATTTGCATCAAAATTGTTAAAGTGCCTTTTTTAGGAGGGCATCTTCCTGCAACAATAATTTTGAAGATAAAAGTTATTTCCGTAACGAAATCTGTTCTTTAAAGACATTTATACGCAGGTCTATGAAGATCAATATATTTAAAGCCGTTTAAGACAAATTCCGTCCGTGCAAAATAATAAAACTACATGTATAATCACCATCAGGCAAAGGTTATAGTCAGCCAAAATACAAATAGCAAAAATTAGAATAAGAATTCAAAATGTTAATATGATGTACCAGTCGAACTCCAAGAAAGCATGATCTGATCAGGAAAGAAATAAAACATATAAAAAAGATGTGATAGATAATACAGATCGTTTTGTTAGTGTCTACTTACGGGGTAGTGAAAAAAGCATCAACTCAATTATGATTGTCCGTGATATACACTTTAATGAGAGTTACCAATTTTAACCTTCAGACAATCAAGTTTATTTTTCTATTCTTTCCAAACAATAAAATATTAAATAAATTTAATAAAAGTAGATGGCGTTTTATTTGTTCAAATTTACAAGTTTCGGAGCTCAAGTTGTGTCTTGATCTTGAGGTACAATTGGAAGCGAACATACCAGCTTATAACTACATACATCGTTATTTTATAAAACTATTGAAACTATTTTGTTCATGGAGACGAATAAACACGTGTGCTGGCCAAGAAACCGCAAGTTGTTTGGAATCTCAATTTTCTTTGTCATAGTAATGTTAAATACTTGATAATATGACAACATCAAATGTAATTATTCAAAACCATGAATTAACGTCAAATATACCGAGAAAAGGGTCACGTATCTAGTAAGACTACACTATCTGCAAGACTGGTCAAGGTTTTTGTAAGAAATCTCTCTCCAATGCTGGTTATGGAGAGTTTACTGGTCAGGATGTTACAAAGATTTTATGAGAATGTCAGAATCAAAATTGGGGGGGGGGGCAGAAGGGAAACTGTTGGGAGGGTGAGGAGAAGGTAAGTGAAATAAGTAATAATCGAATTTTGAATGTTGGTTGGTTGCCTAATAGTTCTGTAGTTGACGGGCCAGGAATAAAAATTAAAAAACAGGAATTTAAAAAAATTGTTCACCAATCTCACGCGTTTTTTTCTGTCGAGGTTTAAGTGCCATTGTGAATCGCACTCGCGCCCCATTGTCGAGCCGTCGCAGCGCAACTCCACTCCCAGGTGCGACGGTCGCGGCGGCGGTGGCAGCGACGGCGGTGGCGCGGCGGGCGGCGCTCTCAGGGCCTTCCTTGGACGCGCGAT